CCTTGTCTAAGATGCGTGGTTTTTCTTCAAAGGCTAGAATCTCTTTCCTATTTGTCAGCTTGTATCTTGACCGCCTTTTCGAAGTAAACATTACGGCGCAGGCGCCTCGGGAACCAGTTGAAATGTTGCATCACACCAATACTGTAGATTCCCGCTGCATTTAGTTTTTGTGCTTGGCGCATATCTGACTTCTCGTTTTCCAACTTTTCATTTGACTGCACCAATGCAATACCTGTGATTATACACGTGGATAAATTCTTGCCTTTTACTCTTACTGTCGCTTTCCTTCTCGCTACACAGCTCCTCTCTTGTGAAAGTCTTGACCGATGGCTGAACAAATCGGTGAAGTCAATCAGTCAGTCAGTAGAAAAGGCAACTGAGGAAGAATTGCCTTTTCATCCCACCAACAATGTAGTATGTTCAGGGAGGACTGAACGGCGGTTAAATACTTTCCTCTCAGGGGAAGCCGATGTGGACGTGGTAGTGCATCGTATGGTCAGTGGATGCTGGCACCACCGTCAAGATGTGAATTTGTACCGAGAATACATATCTCTTATGGAGCGTAAGTCCGTCATGTTCACCCTATATAACCCCATCAACAGGCAAGAACACTCGTTGGTCTCGGCTGACAGAGCTGTCACGCTTGTTCTATTCCTGTGAACAGAATATGACACCGATGTACTGTCCCTTCTTTACCCTAAAAGAACTACCTCATTGGCGGATGAGAGCAACCGTTTAACCACACTTGGGATTCTCGATAGTTATGCGCATCATGTGACAGAGTTCATTAACGGGAGCACCTAGACACGCAAAGCAGACGTCATAAGTCGAATCGGGTTCCACTCCTAATTACCAGCTACCTAGATGGTAAGCTTATGGGCACCTCCAAACAGTATTTGATCTTATTAAGCGCTTTACGGAGCCCCAATCTTTCCCGCTTTCTTTTCGGATTAATCAATGAAAAGAAAAGGTCTAAAGAAGCACTTCTGCTTCGAAAATCCACTTTTTGCTAGACCGCATCTCATAGCTATCAACTTGCTTTCCAAAAATCAGACTAACTACTAGGCATTGAAGGAGGTATTCATGCCCGCAGCAATTAGGTGCCACTTCCGCTCTTTTTCATTGACTCACTTTCCTCATCAGTACACCGTTTCATTTCTCTCGAATGAAGACCTGCCCCCTATGGCTTGTCCGGTTACCCTGTTTTGTTTCGAACGGCACTTTGCCTTACCCAAGCCAGGTCGGATCAATTCTGTACGGTCTGCCAATGCTTGCAATTATCATCAATTAGTTCTCTAGCCATATAGGAACAGTATAATGTATAATTGTTTTCCTTGAGGTTCCTTGCAATTACTGTTATCCAAACTGCCACGGATGCCACAGAATAGACTCTTCGTCCGGTTAAGAGACTATATGTGGTACACCCTACATTTTTCTCGTGTAATGTGTGGTTCTAGCCCTTGAGCCAGTATGTCATAAATGGCACCCTGTTCACATTGTTTTGCTTCTGAACATCGATCGCGTCCATGCCATGTATTGGCATGTATTGACATTTGACCGCTCTGGGTTGGGGATAACTCTCGGCCCGTAGCCTAGTGGTAACGAGCTTGTCTCGTAATCTTGCAGCGCCGGTTCGGATCCTCGTAGGGGTGGGCGTCTTCGCAGTATACTGAGTCCGCGTGCGACTAGTGGTGGTCGCACGGCAGCGAAGCGCCGTTACGGCGTACAGCTGACATTATTATTATTTTATTATTATTACCTCTCGATTTATCGCTAGGTTATTCGGAATGACGGGTTTTCCTGTCATTACTTAACCTGGCTTTTCTCTTTCTGGTCATGGATTATTAATGCGAAAAATTGTCACACGCAGGGTAAATTGAAACTATTCCGTTTTAGGTATCCACAGCCCCCTCATTGGAACAATGGTGTACTTCTAGTTAGAACGATAGTCCATATACTTTCGCGCACCATGAACCACACTGATCAGCACTTTTCAAAGCCATATCTATTTGGACAAGTCAGTGGTTAAGTGTCAGATTAGTCTTGTCCCAATATATTATGCTTAGCTGAGATCAGTGGCCCTCCTTCCTTTAACGTAGCACTGGAAGACCACAGGTTACGAGTTAACCACTCAGCTGGATTGTGGCGAAGCATCAACGTCGCTCTATGTGACTGACATCGGGAGAGCACAGACTTTTCCCGGTGGTTTGCCACGGCACGTGTTATGTCGGCCTGTAGCCTATAGGTAACGAGGTTGTCTCGTAATCTTGCGGCGCGGGTTCGAATCTGCGTAGAGATGGGCGTCCTCGCGGTATACAGCCCGCGTACGACTGGTGGTGGTCGCACGGCAGCGAAGCGCCGTTACGATGTACAGCTGACACAAGCCGCCCTTGGCCGGTAGGGTACAGACTTACCAAGTTCCACGGCGTATGCGCAGCTGTATCGTTTGTTACAATGGAAAACATGCGTGACCATTCTGAGCGCTGTGCCCTGCAGAGCTGTACTGGTCGATCTTAAGCGGGACCCAGTGAGTCTCTGCATTCCTACACTTTCACTGTCAACTTTGTGGGTCAAGCCATGAATTTAAAGGGTCCGGTTAGAGCCTTTCATGGAAACCCCTTTGTATGAGTCGAACTATCGTCAATGATTAGACCTAGGAAGCCTGGAACAAAGTTCTCTCAAAATGCGGACTTACGAAATATCATCCTTACGCAAATTAATGTCGCCGAGGCTCAGTCAAATTCTGTAGTTAGCATTTCTCTTCTGCTTTTCTCTTCCTCTTTATCGACAGGCGGCTGGTACATTGAGAGTCGGATATACCTTTAAACCTTTGGTATCTTTTACATTCTCTCTTAACGTCAGCACATCGTGTCATATATGTTAACAGAGGAAACTCGATGTGACTTTGCACTCTCTTGGAAGATGTAGATGACTACTTTTTAACTGGACTTATCGCTCTATTTGGTACTATTTGGGACACTTCACAGGTACCTTCAGACTGCAAGCTATCAATTATTTTCCCCCTCTTCAGGAAGGTCAACGAATCTTGTGCAAATATCATCAAGGCATTGGCCTTATTTCCATTGTTTCCAGACTCCTCACGGGTACCATACTTCGACGATTTACTTGTCTTCGTGAGAACGGAATCACTGAAAGCCAGGCTAGGTTCCGCCCTGGTCGTGGTTGCATCGACCACATATTTGCTCCTCTTCAACTATTGAAACAAACCCTCTTACATACAACCGATCATAATGCTTTTCCTTTACGTGAAAGCCGATTTCGAGTCTGTCAGACTGGCGCTGCTTACTCCTGAGGAGCGTGTCGGGAAACTCCTTTTCATGCTGATCTCTTTTCTGTGACTCCCGAAGCCAGATGAGGGTCTACGAGAATCTGTCGTCTGAGTTTTCCACCACAAGTTAGGTTCACCCGAGTTATCCTTTGTCCAAATTCCTCTTCAGCTTTGTCCTCGAAATGATCCTAAATGACTCCGTTCTTTCGGACTTTTGGAGTGGGTGTCCTAGGAGACGGGCTGACAAGCCTCGAGAATGCAGATGACATAGCTCTCCTTGGGGTAGACCCAACGACTGTGCAGTGATTACTAACTAAACCGACGCCCAGCGTTACGCCCTTCGGCATGTCATTTGCACCTTCAAAATGCGAAGTACTGCTGCTAGATTGCACCGATACTCCACCGATTGTGCCGTCACCAAAAATCCACAGGGAGCTGTCATTTACCTACGTAGTTGTGTCATTTATGGTGGTCGCATCCTGTGTCAACAACGCTCGTGTAGCTTTTCGAACCTTATGTCATTTCTGAAGATGGTAGATATCAGCCTGTCAGTGAATGGTTGGGTGTATAACTCCGTGATAAGTCCGACGTTTCTGTACGCATCAGAGACCTGGGTGGTTCGCAATGACCGTGTGTGACCACCGGTGTTTGCGGAGTGTTGTTCACATCTGGTGGAAACGCCGGGTCCACTAGTGGATTCTTGACAAGAAACCCTATGGCGGAGGAATTTCGCTATATTGCTGAATCCCAGCAGTTCACCCTACGACCAGTTTGGTCCTGGCTTGGAATGGCGTGGTAAATGTCTGGAACGGTTTGCCGAAACATATAGTGACTCTGAACTCAGTGCAGCCATCCAAACTATCATTGGATGTGTATTTCTCCAATATTAGACTCCGTGAACGATCACCCACAGGCATCCCGCATTTTTGAGACCTAATCTCCTCTGGCTTAAACGATTTTTCAACGGTATAACTTGAGAACGTGAAAAACGGTCACCGTATTGACAAGTCATAGTTTGCTTTTTCAACCTTTTTCATCAAATCTCGATGGTTTTGTACAGATTCACATTTCTACTTGATCTCACAATACAGTATTCACTATTCATGTAGAGATTGCCGGAAATGGAAATGGAAATGCAAGTCAAGACCTTATGGTTTAACGGGTGACGTCCAGCTTCTAAACTCTCTGGTTTCTCACTCCCAAAGGTTTGCTAAAGCTTAATTGCTTAACTTGCCTAGGTCATGTTCTCCATATGCCTGTTTACTACTTTCCTCGATACGCATTATATACTGTCGCTGCACCAAGTTCTGCGAGTTCATGAGGTATCCAATCGACGGCATGGAGTAGAGGCATGAAGAAATGGTCCGAGTGAATGCGTCAGGATGGCACGTGTTGCTTTCGTGGATAAGGGCCTCGGAATATTCACACCAGTGGCTGAGGTTCGATTGCACAGGACGCAGTCGAACAGCCAGGGGCGTCCCTGCATTCGATTTCTTGCATTTACATGTTGATATTTCATCCACATTAGTTTTACGCCCTTTAATATCCTGTTACTGTTCTTCCTTCTTTTCTCACTTTTTTACTTATGTTTCTTCTGGCGATGCGAGTCGTGACAACTAGATCCACTGCACTTCTTTGCTTGGGACTGAGTTGTTTAACCGAACTTAACTAGAGTTAGCTTGTGCGAAATTACTGTGTGCTGTGAGTCCGAGGCACGTTTGTATATCAGAGAAGTCCTGGTGTGTCAACGTTTGACGTTGACGAGGCTTGGCACCAAAGGTAATCCCGAATATGTGAATGGTGGTGTTTATGTTGTCGGCGTCATTATCTGCCTACGTACATAGGTTACTGTTTTAGAATGAATTCCATTGAGCGGCCGTATGCACGTTACTCCATCTCGAATCCCCATCGGAGTCGACAGACATCCAAAACCAACAGCTGCCTAAACGGTATGGATGTCTTAACCTTGACGGTCTGAGGCTTCGGCGGACGCAGCTGGGGCAGAGCGCGAACATCTAACCACTCCTACTGCCATAGCTGACAGAGACTTACGTGTGACAACCTTGTACAATGAACCACTTGGCATCTTACCATGCTCAATGTGCCACTTGGAATGACACTGACCTGTAACGGGATTACCATCCTGCTTGCATCTCGGTCGCTGCGATTATTGTCCCATTTTGCTATAAAAGCCGCACCAATATCTCACTGGTTTATTTGGTCTGATAAAGCTTTCGTGTCTAAAGCGAAGCGTTGCCCTCTAACTAGCCCAGCTTGTTGTTTTCAAATCCTTTTGAAAACATGAATTCTCGATCGGTTCCAAGCATATAACAAGATCTTGAGCTTGTAGTACAGCTTCGTGAATCAACCTTGGTCGATGTCGTCAAACGAGCTGCACACGAACAGCTGCTCACATGAATCCACTCAACCAACGATAACTCACCCTTGCAGCTGAGGATGATGCCCACTTCTGCTTGACCAGTGATTGCCGCATCAGTGTCTCCGGATGCATGCAATCAATAGCGAGAGGACAAGCCGGGTGCAGTTAATTCCA